GAGAAAGATCTCTTTTGACTAGTTTTAAAAGAAATTTTGAATATCTCCACTAAAGGTACTTAAACACAAGGTAATAAGACCAAATCCAAATAGATAAATAGTGTGTGACGATTCAACACTGTTATTAAAACTGTCACATACTATTTATTTAGATTTGGTCTTATTACCTTGTGTTTCTTCTAATCTACAGGATGGCCCATAAGCCCCGAACCCCCTTTTTTATTAAAAATTAAGAGAGAGGCAAACTAGAATTATAGGTATAATAGTTAACTAGATAGTTATAGTTTTTTACTCTAGTTAACTAGTATAACTATTTTATTTTAAGAAAAAGGCATCTCCTTATCGTGCAACTGAAAGTTGCTGATGGCTTGCGCCATCTATCGGAATAAATATCAACTATTCTCGTAGATTTCTAATTATTCCAGAATTGGCCAAATACCCATTCTTGATTAATCAAGAAAAGCTAACCACGGACTTAATTCCTTAATTTATGTACCTTATCCCAGTACAATATTACATTTGTACTATTTTTCATATTTGATTTTCGTTTGCCTTTTTTTTTTCAATTAAAAATACTTTTTTTTCCGAGACTTATAGGTCACCCTGTATAATCCAAATTGTATCTTTCTCAATAAGAGAGAGAGAGAGAATAAGATTTCACGGGATACTGACTACGGTATATGATTTTCGATCCCAGAAATAAGCCCTTATCAATAAGTAGTTAAACTTTTTTTTTTTTGCTTATCCCTAGTACACGTGGTACAGGCCATGATAATCATAGTGGGTAAGGCGACTGCTTTTACTGTAAGTGCACCACATGTCAACACATGTGAAAATCAGTTCTACTTTGCACTTACAAATGTACCAGAACCCCTGTTTGGTTACTTGCACTCGCTGGTGGGGTTGTACTTTTGCAAGAATCAGGGGCCATTGGAGCATTCATTTTTTTAAATTAAAAAAAAAGTGCCCAATACGGGAATCAAACCCGGGTTGTAGCGGTCGAAAACCAACGGTTTAGACCATCCTTCCACTGAACCCACGGAGTTAAACTTGATATAGTGGTATTTACTGGAGACAGTCTGCTGGGGTTAGATCCTCTGTTGTAGATTCTGTATTGCTGATAAAATAACCTCCAATAAGAGACCAGTAGAATATCCACAATGTGGTCTCTCATGTTAGGATATTGCAGGGATATAGGCTGACGACCGGCTGGGATGTTGACAGGACCAAGTGGAAACGACAGACGGCAGTAGGTCTTGAACTGCTGGCTGAAGCTGGGAACTACGCAGCGGTACAGCGCATGCTCCAGTCCTCGCCATATTGGCTGAGTCAGTACTCCAGTCTGGCAGCAGCTGGAGCCCCACCCCCGGGACTGGACTACTACCGCCAGGCCTTACAGAAGCCCCTCCCCTACCGCGTATACCCCTCCCTTCCCCTCGCGGCCTTCCCCGGCCCCGCAGCCCCGGAGCCCAACGCCCCACTGTCACCTAGCTCCGCCCCTCTAAGCCCCGCCTCCCCGGGCTTCTACCCCTCAGAGAACCCGCCCCCTTGTTGACCAGCCCCTCCCCCTTAACTTATCGCCCCACCCATTTCACCCTGTACATACCCCGTGTAAATACTGTACATAGATCTCTTATTTGTGAAAGAGAAGGTCGCTAGAGAAGAAATCATCTGTGTCGAGAAATAAAGAAGTTAAAATATTGATTTGTGGATTAATCTCTTGATTTATATATTACAAATGTTGCGAGGGGGATAGAAGAACACTGGAGGGTTTCACAATATGGTCATACTGTTGGGTGTACATACATACTGACTTGACAAAACTGTGCCGGAGAATATACGTAATTAGAAAACACTTAAGTCTTTTAAGAGACACTAAAATTCTTAATGTATAAAAGTTTAAACTTTTGAATCAAAGTCAACAACAAAGCTTTAATAACTTTTAACTCAAAATAAATAGCAAAGTTAGGACTTTTCATAACTTTTAACTAAAAATAAACACAATGTTTGAACTTTCAACTCAAACTACACAACAAAATGTGGACTTTTAATACAAGATACAAAACAAAGTATGGACTTTTAACAACTTTTAACTTAAACTGCACAACACAAGGCGTATACTTACCACAACTTTTAACTAAAAATAAATACAATGTTTGGACTTTTTAACTCAAACTATACAACAAAATGTGGACTTTTAACAATATTAATTCAAGCTATACAATAAATTGTGAACTTTTTAACACAAGATACAAAACAAAGTATGGACTTTTAACTACTTTTAACTTAAACTGCACAACACAAAGGTATACTTTTGATAACTTTTAACCCAAACTAAACAACAAAGTGTGTACATTTGACAACTTTTACCTCAAGCTATACAATAAATTGTGGACTTTTTAACACAAGCCACAAAACAAAGAGTATGGACTTTTAACTTAAACTGCACAACACAAAGTGTATACTTTTGATAACTTTTAACTCAAACTAAACAACAAAGTGTGTACATTTGACAACTTTTACCTCAAGCTATACAATAAATTGCATAAAAAATAAAAGTTGACAAATCTTGACGCTATCTATTGATCGCTACAACAAACTAGCGGCCTCGGGTCGGTGACAAAGCCACAACACCAGCTTTGGCAAACTGAGAAGCGTCCACCTAGAGACAATGGTCTACAGGTGGTGCTATGGGTTTGTCAACGATCCTGGCCGCTTGTTTGCAGTGACGGTCAATAAATGGCGTCTAGGGAGATGCGACCTTTATTTTTAATGATTCAATGTCCTCCCAGATAAATTTTCACCTAAAATAAATTTTGGACTTTTAACCAACTAAACTTTAAAGTTTGGATTTTCAACTTAAAACAAACAGCAAAGTTCATAAACAAGAATCACGAACATAATAGGGCGCTGTACAAGAATTCTCGTGGACTCGAGCCGGACTGTCCAAGGTTGTGTCAACGGCTAGACATGTGATGAGCCGACCACCTCACTGTGGTCCTTATTGTGGTGTTTTTTTAGGCACCCAGGTTCAAAGCCTGGTTTGAAACTTATTTTATTTTTAGTTGGTGGAGAACAGGGATATACACTCATGGACAAAACTTATGGAAGTTGTACCTTCTAGCATGTATATCGGGATTCAGACAATAAATCTGAAAGATATTACAGTGACCTTTATTGAAGACAATACGAGATAACTACACTCATGGACAAAACTTAAGGAAGTTGTACCTTTTACCATGTATATCGGGATTGAGACAATAACTCTGAAAGATATTACAGTGACCTTTATTGAAGACATACGAGATAACCAAGTGTGAACAACCTCTGTCTCCTTAAAAAAAAAAGACCACAGGAGACAGCAGAGATTTTCCACTTCCTTAAGTTTTGTCCATGAGTATAAATCGCGTTGAATTTTCGACAAACAAGATCCTGGATCGAATCCTGCTTTGGGTACTTTTTTTCTAGAAAAAAATAGTTTATATTGCCTCTCGATTCATGCAAAAATCCAAAACCAGATAATGTAAGTAATCAAACAGGGCTCTGGTACACTTGTATGTACAAAAGTCGAACTTCTTTCCACATGTGTAGACATTAAGTGCATTTACAGTAAAAGCAGTCGCTATAACTACTCAAGATGATTATCATGTCCTTGTACCACGTGTACTTGGGATAATAATCAAAATTCGAAACTAATATAGTCACCATAAAATAGTGCAATAAATTGATAAAGAGGGAGCAATCTCTCGAAATATTTTGAATTTTTTTTTTCTTTACAGATCCAGGTATGCCCTTTTATATAATCTTAATTGATGGATCGCCTTTTGACTCAAATTATTATAGAAGCGTAAGATTCTTTTTAAAAATAAACAATTTCTACTGCCCTTACTGCAATGGAAAAATTAATTGGAGAGCCTAAAAAAGATCTATAAACTACCTCAATGGGGCGCTTGCGTCCTGTACAAGTCCGAGAGAGAACCTACCAGAAAATGAAAGTAACCAAATACCCTGACACACCGCGTATATCCTAAAAACCAATATACTTCCCCATGTATAGACACGTGGTGCATTTACAGTATAATCCGTTACAATTCTGTGCCCACACCATGATTACCATAACCATTACCACGTGTTATTAATAACAACAGCATTCAATTAAAGCGCTTTAATTAAATACTTATAAGTATAGAATGAATTGAAATAAGTAAATATAAAAAATGATGAGTCAAGCCCCCACATTCAATAACTGATACCATTGCAGTAAGGTCTTTAAAGATAATATTTGATGTAATTATAGAAAAGAAACACATTGCCAGTAAATTATATTGTTACCAATTTTATCGATATAGGTGGCAATTGAATTTATAAATAAAAAAGGATATTGCCAAGTGGAAAATTAGGGAAGACCAACTTCGAGATGAGACAACAATTTATTTCAGGCAAGAACAAACTATGAATGGTAAACAAAAGATAAGCAAAAAGAGGGAAGTTTACAGAGTATAGCAAAATATAAACATAAAAAATAATACTCTGCTAATAAAATAATAAATACTTTGTTACAATATTTACATACAGTACATAGATACATAACCATTTATAGATACCTTTCGTCTTGTACACAATATCAGAAGAAGAGTGTAGCAACATAGAGGAAGTCTGGAAGTTGGAATAACACAAGTAGGAGATCATTGGAGACTTTTGGGTAGCAAGCACAACACTGGGTCTTGTTAAACAAAGTCCGTCCCGGTCAGTATTTGGGAGTCAGGTTGTTCCATGCTAGGGCTGTGGACAGGACACACGGTCTGGAGACATGACAGTTGTATGTATTCAAAACTCCCTCTTTATGAATAGTGAAATATATTCTAACAAGAAGACATGAAAATATTATTTATTTTTAATTCAAACAACAAACATAGTTTTAACACAATTCCACAACTAAAATACAAACACCGTCTATAAACACAAATACTTTATATAATATTTACGAACGGAGAAATATGTCCAGGGTAGCCTAGTGGTCATGGCATCTGCCCGGTAAGCGGAACACTGTGGGTTCGATTCCCATCCCTGGACACTTTTATATTTCCGTTTATCATTACTCTTCACCATTCATCCTTTCATACCTCATCCTTTAAAGTTAGAAATAATCGTTATTTCTCCTTGGAATAAATTTTGATTTTTCATTGGAACGAAACTCATGCGCGATGGTTTTCAAATGTCGTTTTACAATCACTATACATTAAAAATAAGAAAGACATATCCTGACCAGGAGTACATGTGCTTTTCAGAAGGCAGAGCGATATCTGGTGGAACAGAAATCAACTATTCATTGATTTAGCCTGTTCCCTGATATTTGGCCAACCCAATTTATTGATAAATCAAGAAAAGCCATCCACGAAACACTACATATACACACACAATTATCATCATTAACTCTGTGATAAAACAATTAAATAAAAACAAATATTTAACTAATTAATTAATATATTACAGATAGCACTGTTAATACACAAGTCGAGTAACCAAACAGGCATCTCACACCTATCATCCAAACAGTACGATCATTTACAACCGCCTACTACTCACCAGTGATATCGTGACACACAGCGAGATGATAATTCTGCCGGTTGGATAGCGATCTATGCAAATAGAGGTCACCTCTCCAGTCAAAATAGACGCTAAAACTTAACATCATCTTTAAGATAGAGTATTATGATGCATCAGCGCGCCATCTGTTATGAATATTTAATATGAAACGCGAAAATGGCTGCCAGAGGGCGCTGTGCAACTTTATTTGAGCCGACGGTGGCGCTGTTGAAGGCATTTTGTTTTTTGACTCACGTGGCATCAGCATGTGTGGAGTTTTAGAAAAATTCAAATCGTGGAAAATTTCTGGAGCCCGTGGAAAATGGTGATTTCCGAGCCAAAAAGTGCACATTTGCGGGAAGTTTTGTTGTTCGCCTTCAACTGGAAGAAAAGTTCCACTGAAGCCCACCGAATGCTCGAGGAAGTTCACGGCGACCACGCTCTGAGCAAATCACAGTGTTACAGGTGGTTTAAAAAATTCCAAAGTGGCGATTTTGAACTTGATAATGAACCACGTGGAAAACCGCACCAAAAGTTCGAGGACGCTGAACTGCAAGCTTTGTTGGATGACGACAGTACCCAAACGCAGGAGAAACTCGCGAAACAGCTCCAGGTGTCTCAAGGTTCTGTTTCCCTACGTTTAAACAGCCTCAGAATGACCCAAAAGCTTTCCAGATAGGTCCCCCACGAGTTGAGCGAAAGGCAGCAAGAACGGCGTCTGGTAACCTGCGAAGGGCTGCTCGCCAGGCATGAAAAGAAGTCATTTTTGCACCGAATCGTAACTTCTGATGAGAAATCGATCCACTTCAGCAATCTTATGCGCCAAAAGTCGTGGGGCCTGCTCGGCCAATTTCCAAAACAGAAGCCTAGGCCCAATCGCTTAGGAAAAAAGGCAATGCTTTGCGTATGGTGGGACCAGACCGGCGTAGTATATTTCAAGCTCCTGAAACCTGGCGAAACGGTCAATACTAGTCGCTACAAACAACCAATGCACAGTTTGAGAGAGGCATTGAATGTAAAAAGACCGGAATTGCGTGAAAAGCACAACAAGCTGATACTGCAGCTTGACAACGCTCCAGCCCACAACGCTACAGTGGTCAAAAACACCATAAAAGACTTGGGCTGGGAACTCTTACCCCACCCGCCGTACTCACCAGACTTAGCGCCGTCGGACTACCACCTTTTCACATCTTTAGGACACGCCCTAAAAAACCAAGAATTTTCGAACTCAGACATACTCCGAAAATGGCTTGTTGACTGGTTCGACTCAAAAGGAATAGAATTTTTCAGACAAGGAATTCGAAAATTGCCTGAAAAGTGGTCCGAGTGTATAGCTAATCAGGGCAGTTACTTTGAATAAAAAATCTTTTGTTGTATTGAATTGGTGAACTTTTGAATTCACTGAAAATTTTCGCGTTTGATACTAATAGACCTGGTATTATAGACGCGTATGATTATTTTGAAAATTAAACAATTTCTACTGCCCTTACTGCAATGGAAAAATTAAAGGGAGGGCCTGGCTTGGTAGAATAAACTGGCGAAACCGCTGGGAGGGTTAACCACTGATGAGCCAGGCCCTCCCTTTAATTTTTCCATTGCAGTAAAGACAGTAGAAATTGTTTAATTTTCAAAAGAATCATACGTATCTATAATATCTTTAAATATAGAGTATTATAAAGGACTGCGGCGTATGATTATAAAACAACACCTAAAGTTTCACCGCATAAGTTTCTTTTCTGTGAAAAATCAATATTTATTTCAAAGAGAAATATTTACTATTTCTAACTTTTTTGGATGAAGTATGAAAGGGTGAAAATATGAAGAGTAATGGCGAAGTTAGAAATAGTAAATATTTCTCTTTGAAATAAATATTGATTTTTTCACAGAAAAGAAACTTATGCGGTGAAACTTTAGGTGTTGTTTTATAAAATATAGAGTATGCCTGGCTGGCATTCATTGTTATTAGAATTAAAAGATACTTCGGCCAGTAAATGTTTTTATTCTCTCAACGTTTCGACAAAATTACTTTGTCCTCGTTAGAAAAACTTTAAACATTTGTCAAGGCGTTATTTATACATTTATAACGCTTTGTTAAATGCTTTATTTTTTACTTGTTGTGTCAAATTATATTGACAAACATTTTCAGTTTTTTTTCTTATCAGGTTTTATAGGGAAGAATGTTGTCTTCGTTTGTTAGTGAACCAATCTCTCACGCCTTCTCATTGGACGAATGTGGCCATGTCTGTATATAAGAGGGGACTAAGGGAATGCGAAAGGGGGCTGAGAGCGTGGAGAAATGGTGTGGAGACGCTTAAAGTGTTTTTCTACGTGATTTTTCCGTGTCTGGCTGTTCTCTTGGCATCCCTGTGTCACCCGAGTCCGATCCCTGCCAACGCTACAATAAAGCTAAGTACTGTTTTATTTTATTTAACAAATCGTGAGTTGTTTTTATCTCCCTTTTGTTGTTAGTGTTGTGCTCTTGAGTGTACGCTTTTCTGTGTATTAAGGTACATTTAATTTAGGCCCTAGCTTATTCCATTTTTGTGTGTTAACCCGCAAAAGTATTAACTTTTGTCAGTTCCTGACGAGGACAAAATATTTTTTTCGAAACGTCGAGAGAATAAAAACATTTATACTGGCAGACGTGTCTCTTAATTCAAACAACTATAATCGCCATCTATGATATTGTGGTTTTGTCACTGACCCGAGTCCGCGAGTCAGTAAATGGTGCTTAACATCAATTTTAAAGGGAGAGGTGACCTTTATTGGTTTACACAACGAGTATATTTATTGTGGGAGAAGAGCAAACAAAAAAAAACATTTAGTAGTATCTGTGTTTTCTTCTTTTTCTCCTAAAAGTCATACTGCTACTTTCATGGTTTCCATTACCTTGGAAATACCTTTAGACATCTTTCACTTCCCAAGTTTATACCTCTACTGGCTGTGATCAATCTACTGTGTTTTCATTGGTGAAAAGCTATAATTGCTGACACCGTGATTGGCTGAATTAATTATAAGGCGATATCGCGCCATCTATAGATAAGAATTTAAACTATTTAGTGCGAACCTGTCTTTTTACATATATAAGACTAACTTTCTAATGAATATCATTATTGTGATTTAAAATATTATATGTAATTCTACTTCCCTAGAAGCTGTCCCTATACTTTGTTTAAATTCCATAACCAAGATTCCATCTTACAGTGGCGCAAATATAAACAGAATCGTCCAATAGAGTAGTAGAACTCTGATAGATCCAACTGGCGAAACCGCTGGGAAGGTTGCCCACTGTTGAATGGTTGAAGACATGGCCAGGTTACCTCGGGATAAGTAAGAAGACACATTACCTCGGGATAAGTAAGAAGACACGTTACCTCGGGATAAGTAAGAAGACACGTTACCTCGGGATAAGTAAGAAGACACGTTACCTCGGGATAAGTAAGAAGACACGTTACCTCGGGATAAGTAAGAAGACACGTTACCTCGGATAAGTAAGAAGACACGTTACCTCGGGATAAGTAAGAAGACACGTTACCTCGGGATAAGTAAGAAGACACGTTACCTCGGGATAAGTAAGAAGACACGGCCAGGTTACCTCGGGATAAGTAAGAAGACACGTTACCTCGGGATAAGTAAGAGGACACGTTACCTCAGGATAAGTAAGAAGACACGTTACCTCGGGATAAGTAAGAAGACACGTTACCTCGGGATAAGTAAGAAGACACGTTACCTCGGGATAAGTAAGAAGACACGTTACCCAGGAATAAGTAAGAAGACACGTTACCTCGGGATAAGTAAGAAGACACGTTACCTCGGGATAAGTAAGAAGACACGTTACCTCGGGATAAGTAAGAAGACACGTTACCTCGGGATAAGTAAGAAGACACGTTACCTCGGGATAAGTAAGAAGACACGTTACCCAGGAATAAGTAAGAAGACACGTTACCTCGGGATAAGTAAGAGGACACGTTACCTCAGGATAAGTAAGAAGACACGTTACCTCGGGATAAGTAAGAAGACACGTTAGCCAGGGATAAGTAAGAAGACACGTTAGCCAGGGATAAGTAAGAAGACATGTTACCCAGGGATAAGTAAGAAGACATATTACCCAGGGATAAGTAAGAAGACATATTACCTAGGGATAAGTAAGAAGACACATTACCCAGGGATAAGTAAGAAGACATACTTACCCAGGGATAAGTAAGAAGACATATTACCTAGGGATAAGTAAGAAGACACATTACCCAGGGATAAGTAAGAAGACATACTTACCCAGGGATAAGTAAGAAGACATATTACCTAGGGATAAGTAAGAAGACACATTACCCAGGGATAAGTAAGAAGACATACTTACCCAGGGATAAGTAAGAAGACATACCCAGGGATAAGTAAGAAGACATATTACCTAGGGATAAGTAAGAAGACACATTACCCAGGGATAAGTAAGAAGACATACTTACCCAGGGATAAGTAAGAAGACATATTAC